GGGAAAATCCTCTGTTCAGCCATCAAATAAAAGAATAGAAACAAAAGAGGTTAGCTCTGCTCATAAAATAAGATATATACTCGTACTGAAAAAAGTGATTAAAATTTCCATAATAATTGCCTAATCGGTGCAAGTATGTGTTATTTACAACATAAGCGACTGAAAATCCGGAAACTTCGCCGTTTCATGGCAGGCGTTTGCGACAGCAAACACACCAATCCCACGAGCGAGGAGTCTTCATCACTAACTATGTATATGTCAGTAGCTGACTTTGACACCCAGAGTGAAATTAGAATCTGTGGAATGACTACGATTGATGAGGGTGTCTGGGAAGATCGAGACCAAAGGAACGCATCACGGAACTAGGAGGAATCACCCGTACTCCAATTGCAGATAATGCCGACCCGGTAGATGATCCAGGAGACATGTCTGGAAAACAACACTATATAGTCATCTTAAATATCACTCATAAGTATGAATTCTGAAACTTTAAAAACAATTAATCAATAGTACATACTAGAAAATAGTCTTTTTCATGACTAGGCACCAAATTTGAATCAAATTGTTCTACACTTTCCGGAATCGAATATTAAAATAATCTTGCTGCACTACTGGAATTCTTCTACCAAGAAATCGGCTCTACTACACATATTAAACCCAATATTTTAGTAAATTCGAGGTATATTCAGATGCCACAAATGCGGAGGATAACCTCACAGGATACCAATGCTGCCTGCCAACGTTGATCAGTAAATTTCTGCGTTATCCATAACCCAGCACGGGGTTGCTAATGTGACGTCTTCACCAAAATGGCAGATTTAGCCTTCAAGCATTGAGGGTCATAATAAGTAGCCTATTTGGCCAGACACTTCTACAATTCCAACGGAAAAACTAGGAACTAGATTACGCATACTGTGCCATCCTCGGATTTCACAAAGAATAAGGAATGTTACCCTTTCGGAAATAAAAAAGCTCGGCTCAAATATGGGGATGGACTCACTCGTGGTTACCTAACTTTTCGATGTGATCCCAAAATGCCTAAGGATGTTTGCGCGCTGATAACTTCGACTTTCGTGCTACTTTCGTAACTTTGCCTCCAAAATTTTTACCGTTACTAATTTGTTCTCTATGATTACAGACTGAAGTGGTTTGTTGATCTTCATTTCTCCATTCACGCTCCCTTATGTAAAAACAAAATGTCCAAGCGGTTTCGTCAATGTGTTCTTTACTATATGCCTTTCAAGAAATTATGTGCACTGGAATCCTTAGCCCACGAGATATTAGTCCCTGCGGCTGTTCCAAACCACGCATGTCGTTCCATAGATACACGCTCATTGAGATGGTATTACGCCAGTATGTCGCAGAATGTTCGTGTGTAGTTCGACCATTTCCACCAATTCTATTTGTCGTCCTTGCAGAACATATTAGTAGTCAATGCTTGTACTGTTTACGATAAAAATGCGAATTAAGTGAAATGTTAGAGCAAAGAGGTTTCACTCCAACCTGAACTGAATTGGTGCTCATTTGTAACCATTGGAAACGCCTTTGTATTCTTCTAGCTAAGTGGAGCAAACCGTCCACTTCTGCCTGCCTACACACACATTGGTAGTTGCACGGAATATATTCGACACAAGCTCCTTCATGTGTGCGAAGAATGAGGGAAAATCTAATGAACTTCTACGTATTTGTTATTTCGCTTTCCGCGCCACTTTCCAACTTGGCCATTTATGCAGACGGTCAACCAAACGCAGTTAAGAAAATGAAGGAGTTTTCTAGCTTCTCTACGATTAACACTACATATTCTGACAAACACAATACATCTACAGTACAACAGTGATCCGGAACTAAAACGAAGCGCTTTTGCTTTAGAGATTAACGTGACGGAAAAATATGATGTTCTATTGCCAACACTCTATCCTGCATGAAGTATTTCCCAATGTCCCTAAAAATTCAGTACTTAAGGTGCACTTCCCAGACAACAATGAGCCGCTAAATCGACAAGCGATAGATGTTCATTGTCCCTCAAATTCAAAACGGACTTCAAGGGTGGCATACATTGCGGAGTCGTTCGACAACAAAGAACTCCGTTTTTCTCGCGTTCACTAAGCAATTGGTCCAATACCACCAAAACTGTTGACAAGATGGGATGGTCACGAGTCTAAACAACTTGGTAAGTATCAGATTTACAAACTATGTTACTCTATTCTTCAGCTTACCTACAGATGGCAGGCCAAACCTTGAAAAGCCATATGTTTGTTCGCGTAGGAACATCTGAGGATATCAACTTATGTTTTAACAAGCATAAGACGGCATTGTTGGCATTTTCGTTTTAAACAGAAATAAATGACCATTTTACCCGTCTCAATGCAACTCTGACTCATTTCTTATATAGGTTCCGGTGTTCTTATTTCATCTTATATGATCTTGAACTTGAACTTAAATGGCTCGTCCTCACTAGTTGTGCGGACTCCAGCATAATCTCCACTTTTCGGAGATTTGCTCGTTAACCCACTGTTATTCTCGGGAATCCCGAGGACAGCCTGGCCAAAGTCTGCCCCAGGTCGTCACCACCACAGACACTCGCGGCCTTTGTGGATCAGAGGGTGATTTGCACCATGCGACTAGTTTTGTACCATGACGGTGGTGGATCCTGATATTGGCTTACTCTTAGCTGGGCTTCGTGATGAAAAGGCCGGACTCTTTCTCTGCTTAGCAGACCCTACTGGTGGGATAAATCACCCCACTGTACCTCGCATTCCGACACCCAGAAACACCTCCCAGTCACGATGAGTCCGGTAAACGGTTGGGAGGTATGTGATCTATCTTAGAATATTGTGGGAGCTTCCGAACTTGCTTGGTACGATTCGTTCTCCTGCACTACTATCCACCATGGTCTTCGGATTGACATCTGGGATTGATTGCATTTTTTTTTATCACGAATATCGCTGTATGCTGTCGAAGGGACGGTCTCTCTGAAATCCCGGGATAGTCGTAATAGAACGTTCTAGGTCTTCACCATAAGCAGTCGTCGCTTTTGCAGACTGGAGGGAGATTTCACAACAAAAGTCTGACCCGCGAAGATACTGAAAGCATGCTTGGCCCAGATAGAGGTCAATTAGCGACCATACGTGTGTTACACGTTACATTTATTCAATGGATTTCCTGCACCGCATTTTCGGCACTGACTTCCAAATTTCTTCCCAAACGATGAGTGCTAACAGCAAACATCCTGAAAATGTCTTCTCGTTATTTCCACATTTAACTGAGAAGGAATCGTACTATCCACCTTTGAATATCCTAAAAACCGACTTTTATTAAACCTCGGCAACAACAACCAATAATTTCCTAGATATACGATATAAGGTTCTTAAGATATTGATTGCTATGCTACGTACCAGCAAATGAATTACCGATTGATACAGGAAGCATTGCACGTCCAAAGTAGATCATATTGGAGGTGGCAATCGACCAATACCCATCCTGTATAAAAAAGCACAGCCAAGCGAACTTTGGCATTCGACCGGTGCTCCTTCCACTGAATAAACCTCGACGCATGAACAACATCGCGACGACGAGCACTTATGGACCATCGCCTCGGAACAACGCCGCTGCTCCCAGAAAGACTAAGCCGTCGAAACGCTAGCCGAATAGAAGCACATACCCACTTTGTGTTAGCTCAATCAATTAGGAAATTATTGTCCACCCTTATATCTCTAAGCGATAGATTTTCTGAGTTTGCTGGCTTCCGAACTTCGCGTACACAACATTTTTGTATTTCGTGTCAAATTTTATTTCTGAGTTAGCTATTAAGGATTTCGAGAATTTCGTCGGGAAATGAGAAAAGCTCGTGTCAATACTGAGATCAGGATCTTCCTGTCTGAAAAACATCGAAGAATACGGGGGTGCTGTGTGTCGTTACTGTTGTTCACTACTGCTTAATCTTATTCATCATTTTCTTAATTCATTACTGCTTTATAACCGAGTTGTTTTGAGACTCACTTCTTTTTTCAAGTTAAATTAACTCTACCCAGGACTAACTACAGAAATATGTTCAGCTGGCGAAAAATACCAATCCAGTTCTATTAGTGTGCGCCCACCATGAGGTAAACGCGTTCTCACATAACCTGTGATATAACTCACACGTCTGTATCCCAGTTTGGTTGCTGAGATCTTCAAAACGTGTTTCCCTTTAGTAAAGGAGCCTTGTCGTTCAATTTATTTCATATATTCGCGAATTCTCGCCCTAATGCTCATTTAGCATGAAACCGAATGGTTGTAGAAATTAAGTCGAATTAACAAACTCGTACCAGCTCATCAAGAGTCCATTAAACCGGCAAAAAACCATCCTAATGCTTTGCTTATACATACATGCAAAGATGAAGCTCGGCGGTGGTCAGTTCTTGAGGAATGCGCCATGTATTCGACTTTATCAAGTACCGTAAAATGACTGAATGCATATCTTGCCTATGCTTAATGACTCGTGGTGGCCTAGCGATATATCGAGCCAGTGCTGCTATCCTCCTAGAAAACTTTGGTACAAATTTTCCGACTCCGGGTAGATCGAAGGCTTGGCGAGCCTGAAGCGCTGAATTGAACCCATGTGTATTGAAGCGCGCCTCTAACCACCCACACACGCTGTCTTATATATATGTATATATATATATATATATATATATATATATATATATGAATATATGTATATATATATATATGTACATATATATATATTTATCTTNTGAAGCGCTGAATTGAACCCATGTGTATTGAAGCGCGCCTCTAACCACCCACACACGCTGTCTTATATATATATATATATATATATATATATATATATATATATGTACATATGAATATATGTATATGTATATATATGTACATATATATATATTTATCTTTTCCTAACTATGTTCTCTACACCATATTATAATGTGGTGATGTTAAACCAATGGTCATCGAACCGATGACGTCATCGTCTTAATGCATGGTCACACAACATCTTGTTAACTGATGTAGTTCAAAAACACCGAAGCCTTACTCGACATATATATAAGGATGGTAGATGGATGGCAACTCTTTCGTAAACCCATGAAACAGTTGATTGTCTAAAATAGACACATTTAAAATCAAATTCTTCCTTATACGTCATACCAAAGTGTAAAAGAGTGTATATGAAATGAAACAATACCTGTGCGGCAGAAACATCACTGTCATCACATGCGTGCCGTTCCATAAAGTGAACGATACCCAGATTTTTATATTTCAGTATTACAGAGTAATACGAGTGAAATGCATTGCCACTGTCCGAACCCGCCAGTGTTTGCCTTAAATATCCACTACTGATATAGCGATGCTTGCAATTAATCCGCATGCACCCCCCACCTCTCTCTCTCTGTCTCTCTCTCCTCCCTCTCACTATCTCACTTGAGCTCCTAGTTACTTTCATAAAAATAAACTGTAGTCTACTTTAACCACAAATGAGTTTTTCCTCTGCACTTTCATAAAAAGAAATCAAAACAAGGTTCTCTCCATCAACTACGTGTTTCCTACAGGAAAGCGAATCCACCACCCAATGAGGTTGATGTATCACTTTTTGGATGATTTAGAAAGTTTGATTCTATTCTACTCTGACCTGTCAAATATATAACTAATAGGTACGGAAAAGATGTACGCAAGTTATGATTAAATAAGATATTAAAACTGTTCAATAGAGAAAAAGATACATAAATAAGAAAGAAATCGATGAGGGCCTTTACCGGAAAAGGGATAGATTACTCCTAAACTTCATACTTTGTATAAAGTTCGCTAAACGGCTTCCGAACCAAATAGCGGCTTACCACACCAGCCACCGAGCACTTCACAATGTTCAAAAAAAAACTTGCTTTAGCCATTTAGAAAAAAATGTGATAAAAGTGTAGCTTCATTCCTAAAGCTGCTTAAGTTTACGTTTTTTTCCAAAAAAAAAAACTTGGGAGAGAAATTTGAATTTTTGAAACCCTCGAGGAAAGTTAGGCAACCGACGACACTAATTAGGCACTAGGTGACGTCATCTTCTGTTGAGAAAACCTTGTATGTGCGACTGTCTTCTAGTTCAAATAAGAGGCTCGACGCGAAAAGAAGGATAAAAACAGCTTTTCTCGTTCCATAAGATCAAAACGTAAAGAAATTAGAACAAGAAAACTAGCAGCTTCACGGTAAAGATCGTAGATCATTTTTACCACAGTTAGTAAACTTCACTATGAAATGAGTAAGGTGAGATCTACAGCTTTAAATTAGGAAACAGGCATTATTTCCGCATGTTATGCGTGGAAATCAATTTAAGTCGAAAAAATAAGCACTGGAAGTTTGAATAGATATGACACTCAGACATGACGCAAAACTAAGCATTGTTCGTGCTTCGAATAACAAGTTATGGATTTCGAAGCCCGAACCACACCTTGCATCATGCAGCTCTCGGAGATGACTTACATCCTTTCAGTAATAGCCAGAATCTAATTGAGCCATAACAAAGAAATGCTATCCTTTTACACTTCTATTTTAAATCTCAGTGGAGAAAAAGTATGTATCAAGGAAACTCCATCTTTTCTCTAATAACTGCACAGGCTGACACCTTTCGGGGTCCTAAACTTGGAGACGGCTAAGTTACAGCAAATTTGGTAAGCCGACATAAACAAAGTGTAAATTTCTCCTGTCAGCGCCTCCGAACGACTTACCACCTCGTCGTGGCTGGAAGGTGTTCCTGGGTGCCGGGCTGCAATGTACAACGGAGGGATCCATCCCTCTAGCAAGGTCTTCCAAGCTGAGACCGCCGTTTCTATCAGGACACCTACCTAAGAGTAGACGAATACCAGGATCCACCACCGTCCGGGTATTAAACTACTAGCATGGTGGGAAATCTCTCTCTAATCCACAAGGGCGACCACTGTCTGCGGTGGTGACGACCTGGGGCAGACTTTCATTTAATTAACCTCGGGATTCCAGAAAACCACATTAATTGAACCAGCAACATTCCGAAAAAGTGGAAATCTTGCTGAGGCCCGCACAACCAGGGAGGACGGGCCATCTAATTAACCAAGTAACTATCTAGAAGTTATACGGATACACGATTATGAAAAAAATCAATTAGTATGGACTAATTCGTATATCAAATGAGAGATAAGCCTACATCATTTCGCTGATGTACTGCAGCAGCCTTTCATGAAAATGTAATGAAACTCTTCGATTCTCCTCTGTTTGTACAACCTTCAGGCGTTCGCAAAAGGATTCAAATCCAGTTGGGTCCATTCTCGTCCTGGAATGTTTTAATCATTGGAATATAGTCACGAAATGCAGGTATGAATATAACTATGGAAAAAAAAACGTTGCAAATTCAAACATTGCTGTTCGGTTGAACATCATGAAATCAGGCAGTATAACAGTAAAAGGTGGATTTTCATGTCGTGTAGTGCTGTACTGAAAGTCGCCACCTGGAATTAAAATGAAGATACATTAATACCTACAAAATGACATATTTAGCCAGTAACACACAGCCACAACAACAGCAGTCAACTTCGCTAAATTTTAGAACATATATTATAAAAGGAATTAAGCCAGCTCAAACTCAATACTAAACTCTTAGTTCAATCATTTTTCAATAAAAAAATAAGAGCTACTACCATAATTCGGAAGATCGCGCACCAACACAAGTCGCTCATTTAGAATCCACAACCTGTGCTTTCTTCTCAATACTATTGAGCAACATTTTCAAAACAAACCAGCATTAAGTTTATGCTCACAATTCCATGGACAAGCACTTCACACAGTGTGTGAACCAAGAAGTTACAGCAAACTGCTAAATTTATTGCATTATATTTGCATGACTGGAGCGCAATTAATGAAGACAGTGTTAGATACTCGTGAATACACGCGAGACACTGGCTTGAACCAGCGTTAGGTTGATGACGCCTGCCATCGTTCAAGGGTCCACAAAATGGTGCAAGACTTGTCCGGGAAGAGCTCCATAAAATCCAAAAGCCGACGACTGTTTTGAAGACCTAAGAACGGGTGTAGTCTACGCTGATTCTTTCAACAGTCTGCAATAAAGCGACATAGAAGGTTGTTCATAGAGATATCTAAGAAATAAGCATACCTTTGCGCCGTACTCAAGTCCGTAACCACAACCTTTGAAGGTATAACCCATTGAGCTACCAGTAAACAACATCTTGCTAAGGATAAACAGTAGAAAAAGTATAGTAAACATCGTTTGGGGCTGATTGAATGCATATCTGGTCTTTACAATGACTCACGCCAGTGCTGCTATCCTCCCAGACAACTCTGTTATCAATCTGCCGATCCCGGAGGGATGGAAGGGTTGGTGGGCCATGGGCGCGCAGATCGATTCCATCTGTGTGTTACAGGGCTCCACTGACCACTGCACCACATGCGTCCAGAAAAAGTATAGCAGGCAGAAAATAAAACATCGTGATTTCGACTACAGCCTCAGCTAAACTGGTCTCATTGCTGATTTGTGCTCTCAGATCAATTCCGCCGACGGGTGATTGCTGATGGCAGCGTTAGGAAGAAAACTAGCTGAAAGAAACGCAAACCAAAGGCCTCCGTGGCGCAGTGTGTAATGCACGAGCCCCAGGAAAGGGAAGTCGTGGTTCGATCTGGTCTGAGGCCCAAGTTCTGCAAATATCTCAGCTTCGCTGTGATTGTAATTCACATCATACCCTGCCGTAAAAAATTATAATAGATGGAAAATAAAAGGATAACAGTGGAAAAGTTCTATACAAAAATGTTGCTCTACACAATGACTCTTGAGCGAGCTCACCAGGTAGTACGGAAACGCAGGAAAAGAAAAAAGAAATAGAAATTTTCTCGTGGTTTTCTCCATAAAGGAGTTGCCATCGACTAAGATGAAAATGAAGCGCTGAAATCTCTCATGAAATGGTATCTCTTAATTTTGCCAGAGTTCCATCTCCGAATGCAATTGTAATCAAGCGCGAGAAAAACGGTGCCAGACATCAATCGAAAATCGTTTTCGAACTTGGAAATTTTCAACAGCGTGTACACCATGTACACCATGTAATTTTATACCTCCAAGACATGATTCCATAAAAGGAGACTAATTTACGACTGATGGAGGATATCATACAAGGCAACTTTATTGAGTGAGCAAATTGACTGCTGCTGTGAACGTGAACAAACTCTTCATAATAACCATTACAGTGAGAATAACAAGATAACAGTGAAAGTTAAACCGTCCAGGTGTACTTAAATCCGATGCCGATTATGCTAAATTGACGACCTCCTTGAAACCGTAACCAGAGTTCTGCCGGAAATGCCATTCCCACGTACCTTCGCCCCAAACTGGCCATGGAAAAGTTTCTCGCCATATTTAGATAAACATTACTACAATAAAAAGAGGTTTCAACAGGGCATCACCATCACGTCAATATTGTTGAGCATATTGATGAAGTCGTTCAGCAGGAAAGAAAGCAGCATATTCACTAATGAAAATCGGAAAGCAAACTTTTGCTTCACAATGAGTATCCAACTTTTGAAGAAGTTACTGTGAAAATATACGGAATGCCTCAGACCCGCACAGCGTCCATTAAATGTGTACGACAATCTCAAGTGGCAACACAGTCTTAATTGGGACGAACCGTGAACATCCACATCCCCGTTATCGATCCCCGGCCGCTACTGTGCTGCAGGTACACATAGATGGTTGTTTTGTCGTCTTCTCTACACAGGAGGAGATGGACAGATGCTTTGAGTTATTGAACGAGCAGTCAGAGAACATCATTTCCTCTCCTCCCATCCTTCACACACAAAGAGAGCGATTGTGAGAAACATGTGTGTCGAACATCCACCTCTGAGTGCACGAAGAGGGAATTAGAGTAGGAATCGCGCGACTCGGCTCGGCAAATAGCCGCCTCCAATGGCTACGAAATAGTAACCAGACAAGATAAGTTTGAAAGTAGAGCGACGCCCCAAAACCAAATACTTGGCCAGAAGAAAATCTCGTTTATGCTGCCCTTTATTAGCGATGAAGTAAGTATAGCTATAAAACGATGCTTACGAATGGCAGGTCTAGAGGAATCAGCTGTGATAGTAGAAATACCACCGGATACTCTTCGTCGTCAGTTAGTTCGCGACCGCCTGTATGACCGTCTATGTGAAACAAAAAACTGCGTAATTTGCCCTTACGGCAGAGACGGTGACTGCATGAGTTCAGGTACGATATACCTGACCTCTTATAATGATTACGGAGACGAATATATTGGCGAAACGGGCAGACCTTTATGTATCCGCATAAAAGAACACCTAGATGGCAAATGAAAACCAAGACAAAGTACCCCACTAGGCACGCATTGGGTATAAAAGCATTGCGGGAACGATTTTGATACAAAAGTCACTATCTCCGCACAGGACCCCCAAATACTAACGCGCAAGCCTCTAGAGGTTTTCTAGACAAATGCCAAAAACTACAGTAAGCAGCTCGGAGTATCCAGAGATCACGCGTGATCTCGCCCCGTACCTTTGCAACGATCGTTGATATGGAGATGTGTAGTCGTCAACCATATGCGACTCTGATCAGCGGCTCTTCCTCAGTGGAAGGCGCGTAAAAACGGTGGATTTCTCGAGAAGCTGTTGACCATGTGATTGCCATTTAGATTGTCATCTTTCTGTATTTGTTATTGAAGCTTTTGACACAGTAAATTGCATATCACTATACTCTTCCACGCTCTGATGGAGGCGATACTGCTGAAAAGTCACCTACTGTTGTGTTTTATGGTATTGTATGGAAGTAAACTTATGCTGTTTAACAACCTCGCGACTACTGGAGAAGAAAACAACGAATTTATAATCCAATGTCGAGCTTAATATAAAGTCGATCCTGGGAGCATCCAAATGGTTTCCCAAATAATTTGTCAACGAGCCTATGAACTCCGTTGTACAGGCTAACCCATTAAACGCAATGCCTCTTTCAACGAATAGTGTGTAGTCAGGATTTGGATCCACTCCCAAATTACGTTAATGGACTTTGGAGCCACCCAATTAATTGTATTCCAACTTTTGAAGCACAATTAATTCATAAAATAACGAATTGCAAATTTAAAACTAAAAGCAGGTAAAATTATTATGAAGAACAAGTGGAAATAAAGTGGATGCAGTGATATAAAGACAGTCTAAACGTCCTAGGCTACGCGTGAACGGCACAGCAAGGATATAGAAATCAAAAACATAAATTACCTTGTAATATGTGCTGTACACATTCATTAGGAGGCCATGACGTTGCAAATGTATGGGAGAGAAGAGGGAAATCGTTGTAAAGTTCATTTGTTCCCAGTGGTTGGTCGGTAAAAAGGCTGCGACCTAGCCCCATTTTCGTCACATGCTCGGCACCCGCATTGATTAAAGGATAACACATTGGATGAACTCCCTTAAAACGTTTTAAGAAAAATATTTTAAACAGATCATGGGTAGAATACAACTGTCCATTACATATCAAACACACCTCTGATTTTTTTGGCTTGTTTGCCCCGGCAAATGATGAATGAAAATTATTCGATGAAGCACCAATCACCGTGATAGGTTGTGGAGCTTCGTGAGGATCGTCCGAACCATCGCTCAATATTTCGCCCTCTTCTTCTTCATCGTCTGCAGCTGGACACACCCCTGTTGCGCTGTTTTCCTGTATAATATAAGCTCATAAGAGATAGCAGCTAGGTAATATGGGGAACAGTTATAAAGCTGACAAAAATAATAGTAGTAATTGACAGTTATTAAAGGAGTTGCATAAGCTAAAACTATAGAAACTTTCCTAAGATATTTTTTTCTATCGAATGTTAATAGCAGAATTGGACGGATAGTATAGTGGCAACGATGCCATCCATCGCAATCAATGGTTCTACTGTGTACCGGGCTCAGTAAGAAGCCTGTTAACTCTTCAGAATAGGCAAATCCACACCAAATGCGAGTGGATCATCTGGCTTACTTAAATTCACAAAAGCGGGTGACCGTTTCTCATGAAAACCTGTGAACATCCTATGACGACTATCCCAAGATTTGAAGGAGAATCCACTCGCAACTTGCGTTGAACGACATTCGTAAAAATATCAAAAATCCTCACACAGCAACAGAATCCGAACGCGAAATGCGAAAATATTCGTAGTTCATGGATGCAAGAAAACTAATCAAATGCAAAAGCGCTGGGACCCGAAAATTCGACGTCGGGTCTTGCAAAGTAAAAAGATAAGAATAAGAAGCATACAAACCCGTTTTGAGCCTGCAGTAGCATCAGATTTCTGTTCTAAAGCCTTGATCCACGAATTCATTGCTAGGTGTTCATTACCTCCGCACTGAAGATAAAATGTGTATTCTATTTACGCATCAGGGGTTGAAATTGGGTGCTCATTCCGAGTTGTCGAGATTTTTCAATACAAAAATGAAACTACTCTACAAAAGCGATCTTTGAAACAAAAGAAGTCGTTTAAAATTAGCTAAGTATGATGGGTACCTCATGTTGAACACTCCAAGTGTATCGTTGCTCTTTAAAAAAATGTTTGTGTTGAGTGTTGGGGCTATTGTGGTACGATCACGATTAATTTTAAATAGAAAGCATAAATTTCCTCTTCACTATGTTCTACATAAAAACTAGCTGAAAAGTGCCGAAGACAACTTTGAACCGATACCGGTGAACAAAAAAAGAAAAAAGGTTCTCATAAAGCAAACTTACACTTATTCCATCATGGTCCTTTGGACGTTTTGGCTTTCTAGGAGTTCGGATGGAAATCAACTTATCAGTGATGGACCGAATATCCTTTGAAGGCTGCCAACAATCGAGTGGTATCTCCTAGAATGAAGATGATATCTTTTGGAGATTAATGGAATTAACTAAAGAAAAAAAAACCCTGGAAATCAATACATACAGAATGTGTTATTCGTCTGAATATGCCCGACGTTCCACTCGTGCTTTCTTCTGGATCTGGAGAAGCCGGCGCGTCTGGTGAAGCAGGTCCCTCCGGATCCGGTGACGCCGGTGCATCTAACAAGATTGATGGGTTTTGGTTGGCCAATAGTTCGGGTGGACGTGATTCAGCCGATGACCTTTTCATCAATTGTTTAACGGCGTCGTCAGACAATCCTAATGCCAACCCAAGTACAGTTTTATCAATGGGCCGATTAACAATAGCAGGCGTAGAATAGGGATCACATTGAGTAGTGCTACTTGAACTCATAATCGAACCTCCAACAGTTGAAGTGACAGCTTGACATAATCTAGAGTTAGACGATGCCTGTAACAAACCATGAAAGGATGAAGCTATCATTCGTAAAGTTATTAAAATAGCTCACTTGGTCAGCTACAGTCACTGACGGTTGCGGAACAGAGTTTTTTGGTAGTGTCACAGATGCGGCCGATATATTTGAAATGGATGAAGAAGAACACTCAGTTGCTTGCTTATCACGTTGTGATTGAAGTACTGAAGGGAAATACCGCCTTATAATTAAGGGTGAACAAGATTATGATGTGCAAAACCTACATCGAGCTCCTGTAAGAATATGAAACAATTTAGTGCTATCCGGAGGCTTCTCTTTATTGAGACCAAATGCTTGTGGCAAGGCAGAAGGAAGAGCATTTTGTGGAACCGTAGAAGGCGGTACTACTTTCTGCAAGTGCATTCCGAAGTAGAAAACGAACCACTGTCACAATTAGTATGCACTTGCCATCATTATCAAATAAAAATTGAACTGTACGTTCTCATATACGTTTTCATAAGAAAATAATGTCAATGAACTTCAGCAAGTCTCTTATAAAGGATGACTGTAAAGTAACAATCAATCACTCCAAGGTTCCACCAATTCATTAATTTAGAGCCAAAAAAACACTGAAACCACTAAATTTTTTTTTTGCTAAAGAGAAATTTCCTTGTCGCAATATTGTTCGCCGCTATGATAAAGACCTTGTTACCCTATACTACAACAAGACAGGAGGAAAATTTTCTTCTTCATGTCAATTCCATGAAAACGAAATAGCGGAAGAAGAAAACTGTACGTTAACCGTAGACGACGATTTGTCCCAGCGCTTAATTCGTTCGTCACGGTCTTTTTTATCATCTGGATCCTTCCATTCATCACGATTTTTGCGGTCATCACGATCTTTGCGATCACTAAAATTGTTAGTACATGTTTACATACACATATATATATATTTGTGTATGTTTGTACGTATACATGCACGCATACTTTTCTGTGTATGTATACGTGTTTATCTATGCGTGAATATGTATGCATGTAATGTACGAATGTATGTATGTATGCAATGTAATGTATGAATGTATGCATGTATGTATGTAATGTAATGCATGTATGCATGTATAATCCACTTAAGTGTGCAGAAAAAACAACTACTTAAAAAATGAGACGGCTCGGTTTTTAACTAGTACCACTTCGCTTTGAGACGTTGGTCGTCTGATACATTGACATCGTCGTCTTCATCATCACAAAAGGCTAGCGGCGGCGGAGGATTCAGTGCGGGAGCAGGCATTGATTTTTTAATAGAAAATGCCAATGTATGGGACTGCAAGCGTGTAAATAAGAAATGAACGTCTAAACCCACGACAAACCTTTTAATAGTTAGACTTACAGGATGAGATCGAAGATCAGTGTCCAAGACAGAAGATCCAAGTGGTGGCACGCGCCCAACAAATCCTGAATGATATACCGTTTCCTACCACAAGTTCATGAGCGATTCATTCCTCTGTTAAAAGACTTGCCAACAGATGCAGTAGGAACGGGTTTGGGGACGAATCCAGTTTGATCAGCAAGTTCGGGTGGCGGCTGATCGAATCGTGACTTCCGCGGTCCTCCAGATTGTGTACTCGTTGCCGAAGAAGTGGTTACTGAAGGCCTCATGCGCAGATCAGTATCACGAGATAAGGCTGCTGACTCATTAGCACGCAGTAATTCTAGCAGTCTAAAAAAGGTACATCGGTATTGTACTAGACAACTTCCTTAGTCTTCAATTTGTTAAAGTGTATGACTTGGTTACTGCGCAAACACTGGCTGCTTTTGAAAGGCAATTTTGAAATAAAACAATTCAGCTTCAACGCAACCTCCTTCTAAAAGAGTAGTCATCACAAATTGTGAGGAATTCCATCACTTCTTACATTTGATTCGTTTCCTTGCGGCCACGTTAAGCCTTCGGGTTTTGTGTGTGAGTTCGTCCCTTTTGGTCTTCTTTACGAACGTCGTTGAATGCAGGTCCAGTCAAACAAAATCCTATGACAGCCATACTATGGTGCTTCCAAATCAGAAAAGGTAGTCACCAAATTTTACGGCTTGGAAGGAAAGTTGCGGTCCAAGACAGGGCAAGCAGTGATTTAGCAACTGCGGAGACATGGGGGCTTATTTGGGCCAAGGCAATACCGAACCATGTCCTTGAGAGTACTGAAAGGCATCACTAGCGCTGCACTACCTATTTCTTCCAATGCATCTTCACCGACCAAAAGAAGGTCTGTTTCAATCACAACATTTTCGCTTTTATTTATTGCGCTAACATGAGATTTATCACTTTTAGGAGCGATGAATTCTTTGAATAGAATTTTTGCACCAATTTAGTTGTGTAAGACCTTTCCATATTGACAAAACGATCACAACAGAGAGGCATTGTCCAGAAATCTATGACCATTGTACCTCTCAGATGTCATTTAACCAGAAATCACCCTTTAGGCCTGTTGACAACAACTAACTGAGACTGAGAAATTCTTCAAATACTAACCAAATACAAAAATTGCCCTTGCAGAATTCATGGCTTCCAGATCTGATTAATTTTAAGGCACCACAATAAACTTGTATCTTGTTGACAAAAATGTGTTCACTCCAACAGGTCTTATTTTGAGTGACAAATCCGCTTTGAAACTAAATCGGGGCTCTTCAGAGTCTCCGATCAGAAACGCCACTATTTTTGCTTCAATCTAGTTGACGGTCCAAGCATGCATCGCAAGAACGAACAAGTCCGACATATATGAAAATATAAAAATAGGAAAAAAAGGAAGTAAAACAAATAAGTATGTGTAGTACAATTTAATACTGACTAGGTTGTATAGTGGAATGAACTATGTCATTTTCTCTTTTTGTACTACAGACAAAACTAGTTGGAGAAGTAGCACGAACCTTATGACATTTTCTGGCATTTCTGAAGCAACCGCTGGTGATGGACTAGTACAACTACGGTGCTCAGAAGAAAGCTCTGGGCTATCAGAACAATGTTCCTCCAAAGGCTCAACTGCTACGCACGATGCTGGTATATTTTCACTGTGAGAATCATGCTAAAACGACGAACTGCGTTATAACATAAATACTGATCTGAAAACTGAACAGCAGAATTAATATTAATAGTGGACGAACTTCTGAGCGAACTGATTTCACGTGTGTTGATGACGTCTGGTCTTGTTCTGAAGACATTCTTTTCATATAATACTCAAGAACATATTGGGAATGCACCACGAAACTGTCAAACCATACCTGCTGAAAAGGACGTGGAAACTGGTTGGGGTGAGCAAGTGGTCTGTGATTCCCATGAACTCGAAGACTCACATTTGAACTGGGCATCGTAATCTTCATCGTGATCATCAATGAAATCAATCACCTGTAGTGGAACATGTATTTCAAGCATGTTGATGGCATACTAGTTAGAATCTCTTGCAACTTTGTACTACGATAACATTACTTATGTTAATTTTCACATAATCTGTTTAAAATTTAGAGTACTACGCATAATTTCACGTCGATGGCATGCGACACCTAAATTTCAGAGAATTTACCTGGCGTACGAGAGCAAACGATCTTACATCAAAGTGCAAATGTTGAAACGTAGTTCAGAAGCAACGGTATATTCCGATGAAGTTTATTTTACGTGTTATCTACTAAATCGTTGACTACTGCTTTCGAACAACTCCACAACTTAATACTCTCTAATCGCTGTAAGAACAGGACAGGACAGGTGGTAGCGGAGACCCTTTCCAAATAAAAAAGTTGTACGATTGTTGGAATTTTTCGCATGATGTTTCAGTATGCGCTAACAAGCTGTATGTATTAAGAAGACAGAAGGGACAATGTTCTCGCATGGGCCTAGTGTTCTGCCATATCACTTCGGAGCTTTCGTCGAATGCAATTTTGGAGTTACTTGGCGACTTCGATAGTTGGATGTCCCATGTTCACTGATTGAGCGGACTCCGGCATAAATTCTACTTTTTCGGAGTTTTGGTGACGGATCCTAGCATTGATTCACTCTTAGTTGGGCTTCCTGATGAAAACGCTGGACTCTTTCTCAGCTTAGTAGAACCTGCTGGCTGGGGAGATGATTCTCTCTCCTCCCCCTGTACATCGTGGTCCGACATCCAGGAACACCTCCCAGCTATGATAAGGCGGTAAACCGTTGGGAGGAATTGTGGAGACACCAGCATCAAATATGCAAAAGGTATCTGTCGTTAGTTTCGTGATGTTTCTTCCACAGTGTTCAACACTAAATAGCATGAGTAATTTGAAGCTCTCGCAAAATAATGAAATTCGTAATATCAACGTCAACAGTGTACCGTTTGCCACAAGCGATCACAAAAAAGTAAAATTAAATGAAAATGATTAGTTCGCATTATTTCACGTTGTATGGCACCAGTTCAACATTTTCTCTAACACTATGACCAAACGATATTTCTATATTCCTACTGTACTTAACTGTCTGCTATGTCTAAGTTGTCTAATTTACTGTTGCACACGCAAGCCGTGGACTGATAACAATTCACGTCTACTAACCTGCCTACCAGGACAGGACTCCATTCTGTAGCACTCTTGTGCGCACACACCCTGTTTGCCTGCGATGAAACATCTTAGTATCCCTCTTAACTAGCAAACACTAAGTTATATCGCAACACCACGTTTGTTAATAGTCTCGTACGAACATTATTCATAGTAGACTAGGAAGTACATAAACCAGTCTTTCACGCGCGACGCCTGGTAGAATGTCTACTAACGAATGAGTGCAAAAAGAACAGAAAAAACCTCTGCTGAGCAAATTTTTTTTAGTTGAGAAAAGAAAACAACTTGATATAAGTATACGAAGGCCCATCAGCCACCCTCATATGAGTGGAAATCCACTGACGCCAGGTTGTAAAGGTTAACGTAAAAATAGCAAAAGCTCATTTAGTGTAAACGATTTCTACTGAAAGTTTTAAGAGAATACCATTCTTACTTGAAACACAACCCAACGTAAAAGTAAACCCAAAAGCTTAAAAGGACCAAAGGGCCAAATTTCATATAATCCCACCTCATCACTTCGCTCAGGAGAACGCTTAGCTGGGGGTGGACTTAGAGCCCCTTCAGAACCAGATTCAATTTCCATATCACAAATGGTCAACTCATCCTAAATGAACGAAATCAGGAAAACGGTCATAAACAATCTAGAAATATACGATAAAAAAGTACTTCAGAGGACTGGCCAATCATGTTCGAAGCTGCTTGTCCACCGGCTTCTCTATTACCCTGTAAAGCTTGGATGGGATATGCAGCATTAGCACAATAACACAAAATTACTTACATCTGCAATACGACTCATTTGTGGCAATGGAAGCGATGTTATAATGCAATTTTTAGTCTGTCCAAGTCGCCTAGGTATCGAGGAGTTCTAAACACGGACTTAAAAAACTGGCACGAAAATTTAAGAAATATACAAAGTGCAAACTTTCGAGGGTTCACTGTTAGCAAGCAAAACAGGTGTATCGTCTTGTAAAACATTTGCAGCGCCAGCATCCATACTACTACCTTAACATAGAGAATTAGTACTACAATATAGACAGTCTATTGAATTCTTAATTCACCTTTCGCAATTGTGCTAAACACACCCTGAAACAGATCCTTATTTTTTGTGCCCGTAATAGATGGATCGGGAATTACGCCAAAAACAGACGAGTTCGATAGTTGATCCTAGAACGTCAGAGAAGCGATGAAAACAAAAAAGTTGACCGACTTTCACATATATTATGCAAATTAGACAAGCACATGCCTTTTCGTCAGACGAATGAAGTACATTTTCAAGTGGAGGGTCCTTAGTACTTCTTCCATGAAGTCCAGCTTTAACTGCTTCGTCACGATCGTTCGATAACTTCTTCCGACATTTATTTTCATTCTAAAACAAAAATGTGTCACTACAGAAAATTATATCTACTGCGTTAGGATGGTAGAAAACCAACTACACGATAATCCATGCATAGAAAAAGCTACGACAGTAGATGACGTTGACACAAAATACATACTAATAAAGAAAACGTTCTATGTAGCTAGTCATATAATATGAAAAAAAACAACTAATTCTATCCAAACAGAAAAAGCCAACCACAAGTTTTACTCAAACTCACATCTACCACACTGTCAGACCATCGTATCCGCATTTTTTTTGATGTGGCCACCCCACATACACCCTTAAAACGACTAAGTATGTATAATTTATGGGAAGCACACAACTATTAGTCTCGTTTCGACTCAAACTGTTGTTAAAATGATAAAAATCTAACTATTTCAAAGAAAAGAAACTACTAGAAGGCTATTATAGGGATGCATGGCAAAATCATAGTTCCTTTGTAAAAGACACTAGATTATGCTAGGTTGGAAACAATTTCAGAACAATAATTTCCTTATTGGCAAGATAAACTTCTAGCACGATCGAAGAATAATCAAGAAGAACGTATACAAGCATGCTTAGCAAGTTTATGGTTGTTTATATATATAAGATGAGCGACTAATAAATATCCTTTTCTTCATCACAACTCTATCTTCCTCAGTATGGTACTTGGCCTATGAGTGTTTCTGAACATCGAATCATTGTACCATACACAGTCACGGATTCTGTCAATTCAGAAGCTCAGTTAAAGTAAAATTCAAGCCAGAAATCCCCGACCACCTTTCTCTTCTAGAGAAACAAAGTCACAAGGCGGTGCACCTCATCCTATCCTTAACAATATATTTACGAAGGTCAAATAAGGAAACGTCGTGGTATGGTTCTTCAGCGTCCAGGCGAAAAGAAAAAGAAAAAGATTACCATGCCTTTTTTTACCAACTTTAACCAATCAGGTATTAGTACAACAATCAAGTGAATAAAAGCATCTACTAACCGAATTTCGTACACTGCCAGGAGCCGGGGGAGGCACAGTTTTTCCAATGAGTGGGGGATGAGTTACAAAAACCTGTGGTGGTTTAGCACGTAGGCAACCTAAAAAATTGATTGTTAGAATTGATCTAGCCAAGTTTTCACCTCACTACACTCAAAACCTACTTTTACCAGCCGATGGTGGCAAAGATACCAGTGGAAGCGGAATGGATCTTTCATCATTCACATCATCGTGAAGAGAATACGAATCACATGCCGATTTATAAGACTCTAAATCCATAACACCACTTAAAAATCCACATATCTTAGTAGCAATCAGGCAAACATTAAAAATCCTACGTTCGCTAATTTGTGTTGGTGACTCTTGTGCAGAAACTACAGAGGAAGCATGTACATCGGACTGACCAGTCTGGGAGCTATTTGGATTTTCTAAATGGAAAATAAAAAATAAAATGCAGCGTACGGCTTCGGTTATGAAAGAAAGCAGTCAGCTGATGATAAACGAACGTTTATCCGATGCTTCAAGAAAGCGCTGAAGCGTAACATCGTCACCATCCAAAACGGCGGTACCGAGTGGAGTTTTGTTTATCAGTTCACTAAAACGAATTGTACAAAACAAGATTCAGATAGTTCGAAGAGCAGAAGATGAAAACTTAAACAATACGTTTCATCATTGAGACTGTTCAGGTCACTTGGATCAGCATAGAACAGTGGATTAGCGTTAATAACCAAAACATGCAGAGAAGGAATTTGAAACCAAGGTAAGCCGAAAAAGTTCGAGAATTGGCTGGAGGGGAATGCCACGTAGGTAGTTGCGTCTATTGAATAGGAAACAGCTGCCTAAAATAGAAATGCCTGGGGTTTATATTTACTACGGTGCAAAAAATATGTACCCCAGTGGAAACAAAGTTTTCTACATCTTAAGGGAAACATTTCTCCAAATACTTAATAAATTAAAAGAAAGCATAGATAATTTAACACCTACACATTGTTCCACACGCATTGCGTTCACCATTGTTGCAAAACCATCTTCACGACTGACCCAGACAAAATGAGACACATACAGGAATTTCCACTTTTGCTCTTTTGAATTCTGAAAACCAAACCATAAAGTAGAAACAGAAGAATAAACAATACAGTAACTTACAACACAATGCAAGATATCATTCATACAATAATCAAAGCACAGAATTAACCTTTACGCAAACTTCACGTTGTTTCACTATTGCACCCCAAACGTCGGGAGCCATAAGCTGAGCAACCCCTCTTATATCATAGACGTCTGGCCATTTCATCAATTTCATGAACTCCAATGATCCATCTCTAAAAAGCGAAGGAAACGTAGTGAACTGTAAAGGCATAAATAACACCTGTAACCAACAATCCGTTTGGTTTGATTGCATCTTCGAAAACAGTACAAAGTGTCGCGTTCGTATAAGTTGCTGAGCAAATTTTCAGCTCTCCTTCGTAAGTCGTGTAGAAATGAAGTGGATCATCCACGTAACTAAAGTATGCGTTTTAACAGAATCAAATCTAAACGATGAACATAAGGACATTAATGGCTTTCTAGGAAAAACTTACCCTAATATTGGAGGAATACTATTATGTTGGCACTTTTCAGAAAGACCAAATCGCAGGTCCACTATTGCATATGGTAATACACCAGATGGGACCTCAGCCAATGACATATCCTTGCTGTATTCGTAATGATAAACCTTAAATCAACAGCAGTTGGTCGTGAAATCTTAGAGCTACGTATTAACAAGTGTAACCGGTCCAGCTGTATAGACAGATAACACAAAACTCAACCGCTGCCTGACGATGTAGCTGCTGACGGTTCTTTTTCGCAGCGGGAATATGATCGGGGGCCGCAATATGACTTGAACACTCCAAAGTAGGCTCCAACTCTGTAGAACCCAAACCCACAGCGTAGCATTTGCCTCTGAAAGTGACTCTACGACATTGACAAATTATAAGAAGTTGACCTCGTGCTGCCGCTAGAATTCATAACGATTTAGCCCAAAAACTGTAATTAATTGTAATGCCGTAGTTAATCATCGAATAACTTAAGCGGACAGAAGTAAAACATACACTCGCTATTTCTCGGCGCTAGAGCTGATTTAGGCTCTGCTTGCTCAAAGACCTGAACAACACCAAGCTATTACAAAGAGATCAATTATTTTTACTCCTGGCAAGGATACAGCTACAGGTAACTGCGGAAGAATTCGACATTCAGTAATACTCTCTCAGTAACGATAAGACAATAAAGAATTGAGGAAATCGGAACAATCTCAAGATTCTATATGCGATCGGAAACTAGTCTACTCAAGCAAGATCCACTTTTTTATAGCAGAAAGAAGAGCAGGCCAGAATATTCAAAAATAAAACCTCAAACCAATGGTAATATTGGCATTTACGAAGCCATTTAGCAGACTCCTGGACAGATCGCAATCGACAACGTTAACACATGGAGCAAGACTTGCTTATAGAACACTTTCATGATGGTACTAAAAGAACCGGGAATTTGAAAGGCGCCAAGAAACGTCTCCTTTCAGGTACACTTCAACTGAGTTTTTAAGCGATGCGACATAGCAAGATATTCACGAGAAAATATTAATAGCATTAATTCAAGCTGGGCACCTCAGCCACCTCTGGAAATATAGAATCACGATAATCACCTTCCACCATCCCGGGAAAAATGGGGTAAAGAAACAGAGTAAAACATACACGACTTGTACTCCGGATTTCAACAATCGTGTAAATCTGTGTGCATACCAAATTAGAAAGCATTTGATTCGTCGTCCCAGAAGGAAGTCAGCAGTCTTGAAGTCGATATGGTTATTTTAGGTGCTGATACGCTGAAGAAGCGTACAGCAACCGATACCGACAGGATCAGACACTAACATGTGATGAAACTGTCCAAGCATAACCAACACGTGGCTAAAGGTTACGGTTCTAACAGCGTTATGTGTTAGAACGAAAGATTCCTAGTTCAGTGACCTAGAAAAACAGCAGTTAACTACTGGTTGGTACCAGATGTCAACCTCAGAACAAGATCATCACAAAGATCAAGAGACAGGAAAATAAGAGGTTCTTTGAAAGCATCCAGCTGGAAGAATTTAATGAGAACCTCTGATTCTCCGAGAGAGACGAATTGGTAGAATAACTTGACGTTTATCAAGTCTGCAGGTGAAATTTGTAGTATTTCCGCGTGTCACACAATGAGAAATGGATAACAGCAGTTAACGACTGGCCGCCACGAGATGTTAAGTGGAAAACAGGGAAAACACTGATCAGATTGTTATATTGTACGAATTGCTTATGAAAGTCCTAGAAAAAAAACGTGAGGTTCCTCGAAAGCATCTAGCTAGAAGAATTCACTGGTTAGCTCTTCTATGCGAGAGTAATGAATCACGCGCATTGAAGTCACTCGACGACCAGATTTACAGGTGACAAACAATGCAGGTTATTAACCCGTGTAGCTCTACAGTGTGTTACTGGAAAACCATCACGAGCAGCCAGCCAAGCGAAGCAGCTCGGCATTCTCATCCGAAATCTATGATAAAAATTGACCTATGTCAAGGTGAGCTGCTATACCAAGCTATCCCTTCGCAAAACCAATTTTAAAAAAGCAATAAAGCAAAAGTTTGACGCATTTCTTACTCCTTCAGAGACTAACACCTACTAACCACCTCTGGTGCGAAAGAGCAAATGGAATCTAACGATAACTGCTGGAACTGCTCGATGATTAACAGCACCGAGTTACAGATGACGCATGCCCATGTGGATGTGCACTTGTACATACAAACACGTATATATATATATATATATATAATATATATATGTATATATACATATACTTATATACAGATGTATGGGTACCTATATATATATGTGTGTATGTATATAAACATATATATATATATATATATGTGAGCAGTAGTAAGCAGAACTAGTTGTATATATTACAGTAGTAGTACTGGAAGTAGTAGTTGATATAATTTCCCGTTAAACATTTTTGTTTAATAGCCATACCTAGGAATTGCTCTTTCCCTTGGACACAATAACTAATAGAGAGGTGGTGGTAAGACCGAAATGCAGAAGGTATACTTTCGAAGTTCTCGAATCGTTAAATGTACACCGTCCTACACGCATAACGTGTTGAAGAACTTTTAAAAACAAACCTCAGAGTTCGGAAAACCATCACTCGCATAATCTCATCTTTGAAGAAAATTGAAGGAGTTACCAGATCCACGTAACGGTAGAGATATACACCTAAAGAACAACTCTGAACGCTCAGTGATAAGGTTTTAAAAGACATTCTCAAAGGTTACCTCGCGACACCAGACCCAAATCACCACAAAACGCAGTTCCGACGGTATAACCATTATCCGCTATGTATTTCGACTATAACGAGAATAAAAAAAAACGACTCCAATACTAACAGATGTAAAACACTTTAGAAAAGTGTATTCACAAACATCGTCGGGATCAAATCCAATGAGAAGGAATTCGTAACTTTCCGCGTCACTTTGTCCTACCAATCGTAGATTTGCCTTGAACTGGCCGTACTGAAACAACAACCCATGAATGTCATAGATACTCAGTGAACCATGTATTTTGGAGAACTACATGAAGAATACGGGGACTCCGCAAGAATAGGCTATGGGTATCAATCGATTTGGGATGGATTGTTTCGTTCATTACTGATAGGATTACTTAGGTATTTGGATACTTAGATCGCAATCCTCACTGGTTGTGTGAGCCCCAAGATAATTCCCATTTTTTCAGAGATTTGCTGGACGGCAAACCATCCGGAGGTATTGGTGGTATTACTACTGTTTAATCACAAGGCTTTCCATCCATATGAAAACCATTTGAGTACACAACGACTGCACCAAGTAAAAAACACAAACCTTGTGTTCGAGGAACCGATTCTTGATGAGCTGAATTCTGTCCGCATGCATGAATAGGTGTGTCTGCCGATCAGACGTGCCTTCCATTACCACTTTCTTTATTGCAGTGAAGATCGATGAGTCAGGCGACACATCTTCGATGATAGCCTTGGGCTCAAGCAATGATGTGTCTGGAAAGACGACATGCATTCAACGCCACACTCGCACATTTGTCAAGCTAAAATATATCTATCCAGCTCCGAGCATTGGCTCTTCTGTCTGATGAAAAGTGTAGTATCCAGATCAAGTATGCTCACTTCCTATGAATAGTATGAATAGAGTACTCTTCCTAGCGCAGTCCACGAAATGTTTAGCTCTCTTACCTTTACTTTTAGGGGTTGAGTTCCCTCCAAATTACCCACATGGTTTACATTAAAAAAAAATGAGAATTGCTTCAAACTTTTGAAAGAACGAACCTATTTCTGGTCTCTCCACCACTCGTTTCTTCTTCGGAATAACGAAATGCATGTTCGGTAAACAACCAACCCATAAACTGTATAACTCAGCAGAACCTGGAAGTGATTAAAATAATCCTATTAAGCCGCAACCGTTCCCATTCAGTGAAACACGAATTCAACTCTAGCATAGAGAACGGGGAAAGTTATAGGACACGAGTTTCTAATGAAGTTCAACAATAAAGATTATTTACAATGACCCGTAATCAAAAACCATCTGAAGTCACTGAAAACCACTTTAAATCGTAACTTAACCCTCTCCACTGAATGAAAAAACTTTTGATGCGTGGAGAATAAAGTAGGGACACATGCTTCATATGAATGCAAGGCCACCTTGCTATGGAAAGAGAACCGAGAAGGCTCAAATGCTTCCAAATCGCGAACTTTGCTCTGTTTTCACCAAAGTCTGGATCACAAGGTCGGATCATAACTGACTGAAAGTTCGAATGCCGTAGAATTCCAAATCATTGAAGATGCTCGTTAGAACTGCCAGTTTATATCGCCTATTTGGCTATTCTAGTTCGAAAGAACGAAAACTGACAGATATTGATGCCAATACATTGACACGAAGGCCTATGCTTTTACTACAATCTCTCCACTTGTACTGTATACTGCACAAGGCTGTTGAAACCGTCTACTACGCCTATTCACATGTACTTCACTGCACCGTAAAGGCCTAAATTCAACCACCTACAACAACCAGCTCCCTCATTTCGGTATCGTTTGACGACAACAGACTACAAGTCCTCAACCTATCCTACTAGCCCTAATCACCTATGTAATTTATGGATCGAGCTCTGCCGCGCTGCGCGGTGTACGCCAGCCATGGAGCGCACAAGCTCTCCGAATTATGCTATATGGTTAGCAGATACTAAGCAGTCCCAAAAAGTAGTCAAACTCAAAAGTACAATCGGCGTCGCCGAGCAGTACCACTTCGTCCCGCATAAACTTCACCCAGTATTGCTTCGTGAAGCTGGAAATTATTGAAATTCTGAGTCACCTCTCAGCAGAAATTTACTGCATTCCCGCAAAGGTGAGAACGTTAATCCCTACCACCAAAAACACTCCCATTATCTTCCCAGCGCTATGTATAACACCATAATACCAATGTGATTGAAACCCTACCAGTAATCTCACTGAAAGATTAGTGACACGAAGAATTAATAGTAAGCACTTTTCATGGCACCAGGTACGAACGCTTCTGGTATGCAGCTTATACAAGCAGGCGAGTCTGTGCTGATTTTACATATTGTTATCCTCTTACATCGCTAGACTAAAACCAGGACTAACTATTGATTGTAATAATAAACATATCCACAAAACCTACCTCTGAAATCTGGAAAGATCCAACAGTGGCTTGCCTAGGGCTTTCGCTTCATATGGAACCCTTCACACACCTTCTCCTACCTCACGAAGGTAAGCACAATTCGAGGAACACATTTCACGGATATTCTTCACATTACCAAGCAAAGTAGTGAGGACGCATTGTGGCGTTGTCTCAACTTCATCGCCCTCATTGTTTCGTAACTTTATACAGATAGTACAAGACCAATAACTGTACACAGAGGTTAAAATATCCCATTGCTTTACTGCCAATCCTTGTTCGAAACTGTCTGTTTTCATTCGCAACCTACATGAGAGTGATATATCTTAGGAGAGCTCTATTCAGGCGGGTATTTCACAACCGCAACTTACAGCATCTTAGCTGGATTTAGCGTTCATGTACTCTTTATAAAACGTTTCGTCCACATGTGACCTACGTACAATCCCCAAGTTTGAATTACAAGTGTGTGAACGACGGCTTAGCAAACGAAACAAACCTTCCACTGTCCTTAGAAAATGGAGAAATGAAAATCTAATTCTGCTAGCCTGTGAAATTAGATCTAATCACTGTGTCTGCGCTTGAAATATTCCGGTGACTAGAAAGGGCGCATAAGGCACAGTGGTTGGAGGGGCCCCGCAACGCACTTGGGAACGATTCCCGCACCCCTGGCCCACCAAGCGTTCCATCCCTCCACGCTCGGAAAATTGCTACCAGACTTATCTGAGAGGATAGCAGCACTGGCTCGACACATCGGTAGGCCACCGCGAGTCATTGTAAACGCCAGATATGCATTCAATCCCCTCCGAACGATGCATGATTCTCAGCCGATGAAAAGCAGTGTGTGAGAGCATAGAGCGAATGTATCTCCAATAGAACATCGTATTGGAAACGCCAACGGTGGCAACCACTGCAGTAATGAAGAGAATCAACTTCGCATGTTCTCACTATCCAAGCCAAAAAGCTGTGATGAAGGTTGGGTTGGATCAAGTTTACTTATTGCTACAGAATAAGCAGTGAACTCCACTGCTTTGCAACGAAAACCCTCGTTTCTACACATAGACAAGCCAAACTTTTGTGGTAAAGAAGTTTTCTTACTAAGTTATGAATATTGCCCAAGCACGAGGATCGGACCTGGAAATCTTTGCTCAATTAGTAGTGAATAAGTTTGCGCTCGACTCAATAGTCAATTATTTGCCTTATTCGGCCTCGTTTTCCTTACCATCCCGAATCATTAGTCAATCATGGGTAACATTTCTAAGCGCACAGTGTTCTCTACAGTATTGGTAACTCTGTTCACAATAATAAATGAGTCAGCACTGATAAATGAGCCGGTACTAAGTCCTTCACATAAATGGATGAATATACCATAGTGTAGTTCGTGCAGTTATAGAAACTGAATTCTCATTGCTTTAAACAATTGATGTCCAACTCCGAAAGCTACATAGAAATATGCAGACTTCCAGTATTCGAACAGGATTCATGTCTTGACTATACAACCAACCTTGAAAACCTCTTTTTTAAGAATAAAAAAGCTTAATATGTCAACTGCTTCCCAGGACCATTTGTCCACCTCTAAGCCAGTTTCACAACTTACTCCGAAAGGGAGAAAAATCAATCAACGTGGACCGTCTTTCTCAAAATCGGCCAGCAGAACATTTGAATAGGATTAAAACACGTAAACCCATCTAATGGAACTCGAGAATTGTTGGACACAAGATTTGGAAATTGGACAAGATGAAATGCTATATTTGAAAGCATTAGCTTCACTACTTCTACGCTCGATTTGACAGTGCACTGACCTTAGAATACACCTTTGAGATGAAATAGAGGACAAAAGACCCAAAAGCTACTACTTCAAGAACAAGTGCATAATCTGGAATAATGAAACAATAACCACAAGAGTAAACTAGTAACCCACCATTCAAATCGAGGCCACCTGTAGAATTTCACCAGATAGTATTTATAACTAACACATTTATGAAGCTACTCTTACGCACAACCTACTAAGAGCTTTCACCAGGAGTCAGGAATGCACCTCATAACATAGAACCCTTCTAACAGGGATGGAAAACCTCCACGGCTTTGAGGAACACACCGAACGTCTGTCTGGTGGATCACACATCTCTGCAACGAGCCGAACCCACAGACTTGTCTGCTCACGGGGGCGACGGTCTGGAAACTCGAGCCTGCAACAACAAACACGGAAAGGATATGGAGAGAGTGAGGCGCCCGCAGCGACACACGCGCCGCCGCACGCAGGAAACTCGTCCACCGTGCGGCGCGAGTGCGAATCCGTTTGAATCTCGGCCGCATTCACTCGTTCCAAAGCACTACGGGGAGTTCCTACGGGATCAAAATGAGGAGTCCGATGAAGTCGTTCACGACTTTGATGCTATCATTGTGTACTCAATTAGGTTTACATCACACCTGCTTTACAGGATAATAATCTTTGTGTTGTTGCTGTCCATGGATCTTCCCTCCATCAAGTATTCGGAGCCGGTTGTTTGTAAGAATAGAGTTTTCCAGGTGATGAAAAGCGGTAATTCCCACGGCCGACTTTCTGTTAACCTTGATTGATTTTCCCATTGATCAAATAGTTCTCGATATTCTAGTGGAGCAAACACGAGGTGTTACTTTATTCTTTATGCCGTTGAAGCTGACGTTTCGGCAGTATCGCCTTCTTCAGTGCCTGGAATTGTATGACATGGAAAGAGGGTTACATCCAAACTGGAATCTACCGTGGACTTCCCCTGAAACGCAGGTAGATTACGAGGACGAGCTCGATGTGAAAAGTTCTTATATCTACCTTATACATATATACGTAACCAGGTTCATGTCTGATGCTTAAGACGGATATATGATGACTTTATTGATAACCACTCGAGTCACTTGATAACTAACGAGTATACGGGTGTAACATTTGAATAGTTTTGCCTGACTCGCGATAGACGACACAGTTTAAAAAGTAATAAGTAAGGCACAGCAGTCTCATTGCCCTTCACACAGAGATTTATAATTCCTAGAAGGTACGGTAATTAGTGAAACCTTCTCCGGCCATACGTCTTAAAGGATGTCAAGGTTTCTGCTTCAAGAAAATACCACTTTATACAAATATGGAAACTGATATTCCCTTAGCACATTATAAAAGCTGGTGGAAGATGCACCTGTCACCTGTATCACCTCTAGTCCCGCTGATCGTTAAGTGACTCGAGCGGGCGCCAGTAAATCTTCCATTTTTCCCTGTCGCATGCAAAAGTAGCACAGTGGGTTCTGCTCGCTCTAGGGACTCGTCGAGCATCATATCTTTCTTCTAGGCTCTTCGTGAAAAACTCTGACCATCGGGTCGGTGGTCTTCCTGCAGTACGTTTGACATTCCAAGGAATCCGCTCACTATCGGCTGTTGTCCACCGGTTGTCATTCATTCGCATTACGTGTCCGGCCCACCTTATCTTCGGTTGTTTGGTGTATAGAACGGCATCTTTGATTTTTGATCGTTTACGTAGATCGGAGCATCCTTCCTTTACTTATGTGGCAGGGGATACTCCTAGCAATGGAGGGTTAGCAAAAAAAATTCACGACGGTAATCGGGGACTACCTGTGGTTAAGACCTTGTTGAGAACAGCTAAATGGAGGACCCTGTACGAAAAGTGTGATGCCCTTCGTGTCTCTCGAAGGGACAGAGTCCACTCAGCAAATACAAGTGCACGCTTGAGCTGCACGTTGATTAACGGAATTATGAGTGTTACAGACAACAGGTTGAGAAGGATAGAAAAGAAACTGTGTTGGAACGTCTACGACTTTGATACAAACTATTCAAGGTTTCTAAGTACTATCAGACAAAGATACAAGTCGTAAAGTCAAAAGCACTAGATTCGATCAACAAGTCCATGTCCAACGTGGCAAAAAAGGTTATTGAGATCTTTTCCAAGTCAATAGTTCACCAACAGTTCACCAGCGGCATGGCTACTTCGGAGAATCAAGCAGCGACGTATGTCAGTGCGTCCGAGTATCAGTACAGTAATCCGAGCTGATGAGTTTTACATTTCTGCTTAGAAGCATAGTTAGAGATAAATCTACGCTGGAAGTGCCGCCTAGAAGAGAACC